ATCAGGCTTCGGTCTGCTGTCTGCTCGTAGCCTCTACCAGGCTTCGGGAGGCGGCTGGAAAGAGTAGAAATCAACCGAATGGAGAGATAACATGCCAGGGGAGTTGGTTCGCTAGAGAGTGCAGTTTGCGTTGAGTACAGTTTGCCGCACTCGAACGCAAACTGTACTCTTTTAGGCTTTTAGCGGACCAACTCCCCTGGCATGTTATCTCTTTATTTGGGCGATCTCTACTCTCTCCAGCCGCCTCCCGAAGCCTGGTAGAGGCTAGCCTGTGCGCATAAGTCTGTCGTCTCTTCTTTTTTCAGAGAAGGAAAACGAGCTATCTCGGACTCTGGCAATGATCATAAGGTATGCAATTATAGCCGTGGAACACCGGGGCGTCCTTGGCCGGTACATACTATAGGTACATGTAGAACATCTTCGTGATACGAGATGGCAACGTAACGAACTGGATTGGCAAGACCATACTTACATATTATTGTCCAATGGCTTGTACATACATTTAGGGAAGGAAGACGAGTTATCTACTCTCAAAGCAGAGGTTGTGGGGGAATGATCGTTACCTTTTTATATATGGCCGTTTTTTTTGTCGCTACCCCTGTCGGTGGCCGGCGACCTTCTCTGGCTAATGGATACTGCCTGGCCAATTTGATACTGTCTTTTTGCCACCGAAAGGGATCTGCTTGGAGATTTGAGAGATCATGTAGTCTGGCAATGATCATAAGGTATGCAATAATAGCCGTGGAACACCGGGGCGTCCTTGAATAACCCGTCCTCGACGTAAAACATCTCCGTGATACGAGAAGACACATAAACACTTATAGTCCAGTGGCTTTTACATACATTTAAGAGAAGGAAGGCTGGTTATCCCGAGGTCTGGGAATGATCATATATAAGGTATGCAATAATAGCCCTGGAACACAGGGGCGTCCTTGAATAACCCGTCCTCGACGTAAAACATCTCCGTGATACGAGAAGACACATAAACACTTATAGTCCAGTGGCTTTTACATACATTTAAGAGAAGGAAGGCTGGTTATCCCGAGGTCTGGGAATGATCATATATAAGGTATGCAATAATAGCCCTGGAACACCGGGGCGTCCTTGAATAACCCGTCCTCAAGGTAAAACATCTCCGTGATATGAGAAGGCAAAGTAACGAACTGGGGTGGCAAAACCATACTTACACATATCCATTCCCACATTTTCCATTGTACAAAAAAGCGTGAAGAAGTTGAACACTCTGTCTTAGCTCAGTAACTAGAACAGTTTGTATTAGCCTAGTATAGTACCCTTGTATGTTCCTTATGTATGTTTTCTACACACGTTTGTTATGTGTCTGTTAAGTCTTGACCTGTACCTAGCCCGTCGTGGCATGAATGTACAATAAAGGTATTTCATTCATTCATCATTGTCCAATGGCTTTTACATATTAGTTCTGTGACAAAGATGCAAAAAAAATATCAGACTTGTATCTGTTACTGTACATAGAACTTTCTCACTACGACTTGTACTTAGCTCGTAAGAGCATAATGTACAA